CGAGGGTGGACATTTCAGCGAGACAATGAGGGGGAGGGGGAGGGGGGGGTGTTGTTGCGCGCGCGTACTGAAGAGCTGTGTTGTCGCGCGCGTTCTGATCAGCTGTGTTGGGGGGTGAGCGCGCATACTCAAGATCAGTGTTGTCGTGCGCCTACTGAAGGGCGGGACGGAGGGTATGTCGCGTCGCGGGGGCACTTTTGATCATTTTGGAAGGGCACTTTCTATCCAAGACTAAAAAGGGCATGTACACTGCACAGGTTGAGCCCTATGTGTGCACGTGCCTGCTCAAATGCTTTCAGAGTAAGAAAATCAAGCTGTAGAATGGCCCTCTAGAGAGGCGCGCCATCACCAAAATGTTTTATGTAAAGTATTCAAGGCATTTCAGTAGTTCAGCGCTTTCTCCTTGTGTCATTTCATTGTTATACAGTGAATTTTTCAGATTGTTTTGTTTTATTTTTATGTTTGTATTGTTTGGGTATTCACCAAAATGTGGTTCAGTTCCACGTCAACAGCTCCTTTGGAAATATTATTCACAGGTACAAACATCACATGTTCAAATTATTATCTCGCTGTATATTGTATGGACAAAATCAAAAGTCTATGGCTTCATATTAGGCTCTGTCCTTTAATTCGTGGTGTCTCAAAATATGTTGCTTACAGTAATAATTTAATAATTAATATGAGCACTGTTAACAATTTCCTGTAGAATCTACAGCAACGTACTGCTTCGTCAGTAACTTATAAATCAATTACAGCTAGAAAACTGCATTTACAGCGCCATTTTTCTTGATCTGTATGTATTTACATTATTGCATATCTTTACTGCAAAACATACAGTAATTTTAACAATGCAGTTTTAAAATACAGTAACACACACTCCCTGATAAAAAGTCTTGTCGGCTATGCAAGTTTTAGGAACAGCATATAATAATTTGACTTCTAGTTGATCATTTGGTATCAGAAGTGGCGTATATCTTTCATAAGCAAAGGCTTCTAGATTACGCTTATTTTAGCTAAATTAAATATGATCATGCCTTGATTGTGAATGATTTAATCAGGACAGTAAGGTCTGACTCTGCTTAGACAGAAGTCTCATCACTGAACAGAAATAATGTCCAGTCTAGAATATAAAGTCCTGCTGCAGTGGAGACAGAATGAATATTGTGTCTGACTCCATCATGAGCTTGGAGGACTGCATCCATACATCTCTGACATGACTCAAATCACTGATTAATAAAGTCATCTAGAACGGCAAAGAAAGTGTTCCTGCAGGACTCCCAGAATTCATCAAGACTCTTTGGGTTCATCTTCAATGCCTCCTCCTCCATCTTACCCCAGACATGCTCAATAATATTCATGTCTGGTGACTGGGCTGGCCAATCCTGGAGCAGCTTGACTTTCTTTTCTTGAATTTTTTTTGATATTCTGCTGCAGAATTTGCCCTCTCCTGTTATTTATAATGTAATGGGCAGCACAAATGTCTTGATACCTCAGGGTGTTGATGTTGCAGATCTCTCGCACGCCCTCATACCGAATGTAACCCCAAACCATAATGTTTCCTTCACCAAACTTGACTGATTTCTATAAGAATCTTGGGTCCATGTGGGTTCCAGTAGGTCTTCTGCAGTATCTGTGATGATTAGGATGCAGCTCAACAGAAAAAAATAAATAAATTGCCACTTTTCCTAATGATCAACTAGAAGTCAAGTTATTATTTGTTGCTCTTACATCTGGGATCGACGACAAGACTTTTGTCAGGTGGTGTGCTGCATATCTGTCCTACAGTACAATACAGTTCATATTACAGTTACATACTGTGTAATTTAGGCAAAAGTCATTAACAGTGTGAATTGATGCTCAATACATATTTGGAAAAATAACAGAATAAAATGCCAATTATGAATTAAACAACTTGTTTATATATGCAATGCAGATTTTCAAAGCTGTTTCAAGTGAATAAACGGGAATAACAGTGGCTGATTAAATTTAATCTCTATTTTTTTTATAGATCATAAATGTTTTTTGTAATAAGCTGTGCTGAAGTGTTGTTCTCTGAGTGAGTGTTCTTTTGCAGAAATGCCAGAGCAATCTTCTATTGGCAATAACACACACACACACACACACACACACACACACACACACAGCAGCATCTGTTCATGCGTGTTCCCTTATTCATCAACAATAAGAACTGGTCACTGCCAGCATGACAATTCAGTGTAATTGTAGCTTTGTGCCTCAGATCTGTACAGTTCTCTATAATGTCTGCATTTAGTCATGAGACATTTTAATTGCACATCTCTGGTAAATTGGCATAACTGAAAGGAGCATCATGTAATTTAAAAAAGAGCTATATTTTGCATTTACAGAAGTCGCTGTGTTCTCGGTGTGTGTCACGGTGTCCTTTGGTTTAATGAGTAATCTGTGTGAGATTCTGTTTATTTATTTATTTTGTTTTTTATGCTTACTAGAATTTTGCAAGCAATCTTATTTAGGATTAAGAGTTTTTAATCATATTTATTAGCTCCACTTTGCAATAAAATGAATGTATTGGGTGGAAGCAGCAATGAACAGCTATTCAGCAAAGGATTAATGTCAAGTGTTTCATACTGACTAATAATAAAAATAAAAAAAATTGAATGATTATTCATATGTGGGTCCCATTCATTCATTTTCCTGTCGGCTTAGTCAATTTATTAATCTGGGGTCGCCACAGCGGAAAGCACCACCAACTCATCCAGCAGGTTTTTACGCAGCGGATGGCCTTCCTGCCGCAACCCATCTCTGGGAAACATCCATACACACATTCACACTACAGACAATTTAGCTCACCCAATTCAGTACTGCATGTCTTTGGACTGTGGGGGAAACCGGAGCACCCGGAGGAAACCCACATGAACCCACATGAACATGCAAACTCCACACAGAAACACCAACTGACCCAGTCGAGGCTCGAATCAGCGACCTTCTTGCTGTGAGGCAACAGCACTACCTACTGCGCCACTGCGTCGCCTGCTGTTGGTCCCAAAAACTTTTTAAAATATTTTTATATGCTTTTTTCAATATAGTCAGGATTAAAGAAGTTTAAATTAAGTTTAAGAATTTTTGTTATGAATCTACTCCATCCAGTGTCTATTAGAATTAAATATAACTAAAATCATAAAACTAAAATTTTTGTTGTTCTTTGAATTAAATGTTAACAGAACATTTAAATATCTATTTTTTAAACGTCTTATTTTCATTTAGTTGGACTTAAAACTACAATAACTAAATGCAAAGTAAAATAAAGGAATTAATATAGACATTAATAAAAATGATAAAAACTCGAGTTACTATATCTACATATACATTAGTAACATTGTTTGAAACATTTCAATATTTCCATGCAATATTTCCATGCTGGGAGATGACCAGCTTAAACCAGCTTGACAAGCCTAACCAGGCTGGGAGCCCAGCCAAAACCAGCTATGGTCAAAACCAGGCCTGTCAACCCTGCTAAAAAAACAGCCTAAACCAGTTCAAGCTGGTTGGCTGGTTTTAGCTGGTTGACCAGCCTGGTTTTAGAGGAATGTTGGCCATTTCAAGCAGTGGCGCCCCCAGAAAAATTTCTTAGGGGTGGCCAGGTAAGGCCACAACAAATCTTGGGGTGGCACACAAAAAATTATGAATTGTGTATATATTGTGAATAAGGAGTAATGTTATATTTTTGTTTTTGGTAAAATAAATAATGTAGCTTTAATGAATTCCAATAATTACTCTTGAAATATTGTAATTTATTCCGCAAGTACAAGTGCAAACCAAATAAAAATCAATATTTAGTCTAAAACCTCTTTCAGGTAAGTTAATTCTTGTACAACATACAATATATGACATGTCTAACATTAATGAAGATTAATGAATGAATTAATAAACCAAACAAATGAACAAACTGAACAAAAGGCATTACTATGTACACACGCTTACTATACATACCCCAATATAATTTATCCATGCTCCTTTGTGAGCCACAATGTTTATACATATTCCTGTACCTATTTGCAAAAAAACACCCACAAAATCATTAGGATTTTTGGCCCTTTTAAGTCAACCAGCAAAATATTGTAGTTGCTAAGTAAACTAGATTTTGAAAAGCAGATTTCAAAATGCATCTATTTATTTATTTTGGATTTGTGGTTTTCAATCAGATTAAACACAACTTTTTTTCATTTCAAAAATAATAATTTCTTAATAAAGTGTGCAATCTCAGTGAATCAGCTTTGTCAGTGGCTCTGACCAATCCACAATAATTTAGGCTGCATTTTATTTATTCATTTATTTATTAAAGTATTGTGAATTTAAGTAAATGCATTTAAATTAATAAAATCAGCAACTATCATATTGGGGTGGCCACAGGGGTGGCCAGAGTTTACACAAGGGTGGCCGTGGCCACCCCTGGCCACCCCTTGGGGCGCCCCTGATTTCAAGGCTGATTTCCAGCCATTTCCAGTGAGGTCTTAATTGGTCATGGTGGAAAATGACCATAATCCAAATCCAGCAGCCTGGTTTAAGCTGGAAATAGCTGGTTTTGGCCAGGCTTGCTGATTTTAGATGGTCATCTCCCAGCCTGACCAGTTAAGACTGGAAATGGCCAAAATCCCTCTAAAACCATATTGGTCAACCAGCTAAATCTAGTCAACCAGCCTAGGCTAGCTTAAGCAGTTTTTTTCATGTTCCAGCATGACTAGCTAAAACCAGCCTGGAAATGGCCAAAACCCCTTTTAAACCAGGCTGGTTTAAGCTGTTTTTTTCCAGCAGGGGTATATACATATCATTATATATAACACTTACAGTTCTATTGTTATAAGTAATATTAGTAACGTGTGTGTATATACACACACACACACATTTAAGTTTATGCTGTTTCTCCTCTACACACACGGGCCTACAGATTTGTTTCTAGGCACCGCTTTAATCTCCAGCTCATTTATTGTTTACGTCACTCTGAGGCCACGCCTTAACGCGGTTGCCCCATCAGCGAACGGGCGTGTGGGCGTGGCCTCAAACTGACGCTCACTTGTTGCTTCAGCGGCTGAAGGTGAAACTTTTCCGGGCGAAACACATTAACAAACCTTTGGACACAACAGAAAAAGTTTTGGCCGGACAAGAGAACTGCCGCTCCAGTCCCAACCGACACGGACTGGACTTTCGGTAGAAATGTCTCTGGCAGAGCAAAGCCAGCAGTGGATTCCCACCAGCGTGCAGGTAACGGTGCTGCAGGCGCGCGGTTTGCGCTGTAAGGGCAAAAATGGCACGAACGACGCGTACGCCATCATGCAGGTGGCCAAGGAGAAGTTCTCCACCTCGGTGGCCGAAAAAAGCGTGGCTCCGGTGTGGAAGGAGGAGGCCTCGTTCGACCTGCCGCTCTTCAGCTCCGGTAACACCGAGCGCTGCACCCTACAGGTGTGTGTGATGCACCGGGCGCTGGTGGGACCCGATAAAACACTCGGACAGGCGAGCATCAACCTGCTGGAGCTCCAGGACAACACATCCCGAGAGAAAACCGAGTGAGTGAACAAGTCCTTACAGTGTCCTGATGATGACGTGTGCATTCCTGCTTTATTGCCTCTCATGAAGTGCATTTACAGGAAAATATCAGAAAAATCAATATTCTGTGAGATAATATTATTATTTAGTTAGTTAGTTGATAATTTCTTATGCTTACAAGCATTTTGGGAGCAACTTTAGTCAGTACTAAGAGTTTTCAAATATTTAAAAGCTCCAATTTGTAAGAAAAAATGTATTAGGGGTTTAAAAAAACAAAAAACAGCTATCCAACAAAGGAATAATGTCTGGTGTTTAATTCTGACTAATAATAATAAGAAAAGAATGACTGATTATTCAAATGTGAATCTAAAAAAAAAACTATGGTTTTACAATATAGCCAGGGTTAAATATCCATTATTTAAATGTCTTATTTTTATTTAGTTGGAATTACAGACTAAAAGCAGAGTAAAACAAAGAAGTGTAGACATAAAAAAAACTTATAAAAACATTGTTCATTTACATGACGAATTGAATTGAATTGTATTTGTTAAATGGGACAGCGCCTTGAAATGAACCGTCTCATTTTCGAGGGGGTCCCTAAGAAGTACATGAATCAAACAGGGTACAACACATCATAACAAACATACAGCTAAACAAAACACACAAACAAGAAGCACACTTTACCTGAAACACTTCCCACAGTCTAAAGCCTAAGCAAACAAAAACATTTCAAACGTACAATTTGATTTCCAAATAAATAATGAAAACATGAAGTCCATCTTAGACATCATTAATCAAGTTGACTTTATGAAAACGCATAAATGACAGGCTAATCATTTTCTTGTGCATTTATATAAAGATGACATGTTCCTTTTTTTTGGTGTTACTTACTTTTTTTTTTTGCAAAATATTAAAGGTTTTTTATGAAGGAATAAATAAATGAAGTGCATTAGCAATGTTATAATGGTTATTTATACACTGTAAAATATACATATTATCACTTAGTCATGTCAACATATGTTTTAGTTCATTATAACTTAATAAACTAAGTTAATCATGTTCTAACTTAATTTTATAAGTCGCACAAGATGCTTAAAGTCAGTTTTGTGTAATTTAAGTTCAAATGACTCTTAAGCTTAATTTGATTCAACTTAAACATTTAAGGCAACTAGTATTTTTTGGCTACAGTTGTTAACAACATCAAAACCTTCAACTAAACTGTTTAACAACACCCATTGTTTTGTGTCAGTTTGATCCACTTTGAATGTTGACTATAGCCTACATACATATAAATACATAATATAAAGTAATAACTATACATAAAGAGAGATTTTGGTTGATGTTACACCTTGTGGCTCACACCCAGTGGACGTAACGAAAAAGAGGGACACCCAAGATAATATATTTTATTAAAGAAACGGTTTTAAACAACTTAAAGCAAAAATATGTAAATGAAGTATTCAGGAATCAGTAGTGGTTCAGATGTAGGTGTATACATTATTTATGTAATGTGTCATGATGTGCGTTAATAGAAAACTAAAGCTCTTTGCAGTGCTGATTTTATTTATTTATTTATTTATTTATTTATGTATTTGTTTATTTATTTATTCATTTATTATAGTCTCAGGGAAAAGGTGTATATAAAGTCAAAATTGTAAGATACAATTAAGATTTTAGTTTAAAATTCCTGAATTCTGAATTTATATCTCACAAATTGAACAATAATGTCTAAATTCTGACTTATTTCTCAGAATTTAAAGTTTATATCTCAGTTTTTTAGTTTTTATTTTATGATTCTGCCTTTTTTTCTTTGCACTTCGAGTTAAAATCTTGCATCCCATGATGATTATTTCTCAGAGTTACAACACATCTGTTTTATAGAGTTTATATAGAAAGGTTTTAATATAAACTTACATTTATAAAATATTAAATTGAATTTTAAATGAGTTTTATTCCACAGCAGAAACAAGCTCCTGTTCTCGTGTGCATCAGACATTTCTCTGCTTCCTATTAGTTTGGCTGGTATTTCACAAGCCTGCTTCTGTGTTGAGGGATGGCATCAAGTCTTCCTTATGTGGAAATAATGAGCTGAGCTTTGAATTCTTGCATTTGGTCATGCGAGACTGAAGGGAACAGGGCGGGTTTTTTTTCCTTTCAAGCAGAGACGTCACAAACCACCACAAAATGACTCAGACCTATTTACAGACAGTGTTTTCTTTTAATGATTAATGAATGCTAAATGTGTGTAATGGAATGTGAAAACATAATAATAATAATAATAATAATAATAATAATAATAATAATAATAATAATAATAGAGCCTTGACTCAGTTGGCGTTTCTGTGTGGAGTTTGCATGTTTTCCCTGCATTCGCGTGGGTTTGCTCTGGGTGCTCCCACATACGGAAGCTAAATTGTCCGTAGTTTATAAGTGTGTGTGTGAATGAGTGTGTATGGATGTTTCCCAGAGATGGGTTATGGCTGGAAGAGCATCCGCTGCGTAAAAACGTGCTGGATAAGTTGGTGGTTCATTCCGCTGTGTCGACCACAGATTAATAAAGGGAATAAAGCCTGGTTTATACTTCTGCGTCAAGTGACCGGCATAACCCACGGGGCAGGCAACGCGCGTAGCTGTGCATTTATACTTCTGCGCGCTGTCTCTGTTGGTCTACACTTCTGAAACGCTAGTTGGCAGTGAGGTGTAAATGTTCCTCTGTGTCGAGTTTCCTCGCTGCTGTTTTGCTTTTCCTGAACCCTTCCTGGATGTACAAGTGGCTCAAACTCGCTCACAACAACTTTAACTATGAGGTAAACATAACAAAACTTTCCATCCGGAGCTCCTTCACGGAATTCCACACTTGTAAACAATCACTCCATTGGGCTTGCGACCTTCGTGCGGCTCTCGGTCCCGCCCAGACTAGTCATTGCTAACAAGCCGACCAATCACAGAGCTTGCGCTACGCGTCGTTGCGTTACATTTTTTGAGAGGTGCACGTCAGTGACGCCGACGGCCACAGCGTAGGGCTATGCGTCAACGCCGCAAGTATAAATCAGCCTTTAGCCGACAAGAAAGTGAAGGAATGAATGAATGAATAATAATAATAATATCTGAAGGAACCATATTAGTAAACAGGTCTCAATTTTCATGTACATGTAAAGCTAATTAATCAGTATAACCAACAATCCATCTAAAAAAGCAATGTTTAACAAAAGTTACTGGCCATTAGGAAAAAAAAACCTGTAGCGTTTTGCCCTTATAGGTCTGAAATTTCATTCATAATGGTCTTAAAAAGGTCTTTAAAAGTGTTTAATCTGACTTTGTGAACCCTGCAGTAACCATGATTACAGGAGTGTACTTTGTCAAATCTTTAAATACTAATATGTATATATACTTTATGGTAGCAATAGGTACAAAAAGTTTCTGCCCCAGTGACAGCTTTTGTAGTTTTCTGAGTAAAATTATCCATTCAAGAGTTCACACTTACATATTGTTTGACAACTGTTAGCAGGTTTGGCATGCTGTCCCGGGAGAGAACCCTGAGCTCGGAGATAGTTGAGCCCAGGGCTCCCGCCAGGTCCATGTGAGGGGAGTACGAGATCAGGAGGTTCTCGAGAGCTCACCGTTGGTAAAGGAGGAGAAGGGGTGGATGGGGGGATTTCTTCAGAAAACGAAGATAAGAGAGTTGTTCTAGCTAGGCTACTTATAGTGAGTTTGGATTAAACTGATTGGCTAACTAATGAATGTAGATGGGTGACCAGCTGCAGTCAATCATAACACGTGCTTCTCTCGAAATTAGTTTGTGAAACTTCAGTTAATTGGCAGAGTTTTAAGTTTAACAACTTTTTTTTACTAGTTACCAGGGGCTATTAGATTACGGCTGCATTTCATGATAGAACAAACATATAAAGAGACAAATCACTTACAAACGGTATTAAAAAACACAATCCAGCATGCTTTATAATAACTTCATAAATAGCACAAAAAAACGTAGGAAAGACCCATTTATTAAAGGGTCACGAAATACTAAAACACATTTTTTGAGCTGTTGACAGTCGTATATGTGTCCCACACTGCTAAAAACACTATTAGGACACCTATATTTCACTAAAAAGTGTAAATTGGTTGTTTTTGCGTTATTTCAAGCAAATTCGTACTTCCTGTTTGAAACGAATTTTTGAAGCTGCGTCACGGTCATGACATAATAGCGTGTATTCCAGCGTGCAGACTGGACGTCTGTGCCAGAGTGTGTCTTATTACGTCTTACAGTGTGTTGCATTAATGCATGAGTAAGGCTTGGTTCAAACCAATCAGCGCGCTCTATTGTGCAACTTCATTAATATTCATTTCTGTGTTTACACGACAGAGACGCCACGTTGTGTTGGCAAAACAAGCGTGAAGTGTTGCTTTTATAGTTTGCTGCCGTTAAGTTTCGTTTTCTTTTTCTCTCTGTGAGAGCGCAGCTGGACTCACGTGTGGATTAACCGTGTACGCGACGCTCAACAATAATAACTTACGTGTCTAAGGAGGATTATTGTTTACCTGAGAGCTGTTCTCATCTGCAAACGCTGAGATCGGATACGCTTGTAGTATTCTCTTCATAAAGACGCAGCTCTAGTTGCTGGTGATTGTCCTGTCTCTACAGATTTGGTAAGTGAGCGACCAGTGCTCTTTGTTTATTCAGTTTGTTCGTATCGAACTAAGTTAACTATTGCACCGTAACATGTTAGGACCACAACCAAACTTTAACCTCATGTAGGGTTTTTAACCGCATTTTGTGACCGGAATAACACACACGGCTTTCTGACGCTACCTGCCGAGTGCATCTAAGTTTCCGGAAAATGCGGAGGTTTTTTTTTCTCTCATTCGCCGTGCGGTATCAAACATTGCATGAAAAATACACGCTTAGAGCAGTTCCTCGAATCAAATATCTCGTGTGTCGCGAGGGGCATGAATGAATTCCCTGAATGAAAGAGCCAAACTGCAATTAAAGTCCACCATTTAATAATTTGGCAAATAATTC